AAACATTTATGCATAGCAAATATATCCTGTACTTCACTAAGACCTCGCCTTCCCGAATACTCATGTTTCAGGTAAATGTTTTTATGATATCTTGAGTGAGTGAGTTTAGTTTAGGTTTATGCTGCTTTTAGCAATATTCCAGCAATATCACGGCGTGGGACAGCAGAAATGGGCTTCACACAATGTACCCATGTGGGGAATCGAACCCAAGTCTTCGGCGTGAAGAGCGAACACTTTAACCACTAGGCTACCCCACCACCCTATGGCAGCCTGAAGCATCCCTCAAGACACCATATTGACCATCTGTAAACAGCTGTTTTGACCTAGAAATGTGAAAAGTATTGCTACTAACACAAGTCCTAAACAAACCATCTGAAGAAAGATGTTGTGATAGAAACATAAATAAAGACAAGGCCCTTCCTTATGACCAACACAAATGGTCCATGTCACCTGAAACAAAAGTATTCTTTGGTTTGGCCCTTATCGGACAACCTCTCAAAATATACAGACTTCATAAGCTGGGTACCATAGTAACCAACTTGAGATATCAACACGTTTATTTACAAATATCTACAGGGAACCAGACATAAACGTCGGTGTCATTAAACAAAGGAGTGGTGCGCTGGTACATCGCAGACAGATGGAAAGAAACTGGAACTGTAAAAGACCTTCGGGCCAAATGGATTTGAAAGAAAAAACTAATACAAGAAAAATATTTAAAAATCATAAACTACCAATAGAAATGACAATTAAACCTCGATCTATGGCAAACTGTTTCAAAGCATCATTTTATATACACTTCCTAAATGAATTGTATTTGAATGAGAACAAGTAAAGTCTAAATACTATATCATGTCCTATTCTACAGATTACAATATGATACAGCGCATGAACAGATGGAAAATGATCTAACAATGTACGAAGGATTAACTTCAGTAAAGGTATGAAAGCACTATATTTGTCTTCCAGAGGAATACAGATAATATCCCTTCCTTATTGCACATAAATCCCTTCCTTATTGCACATAAAAGCTCTAATCACTAGTTAATATCTGTAGTAGATGTCTATAGGAAGGTCGATCCAGGTGTTGAAATTAACATTTTCTTTTGCCAAGCATCTGGGATTTCCTGTATTTAAGCCAAGGCAATGTTAAGTCAATGGGCATAAAATCAGGATATTTCACCATTTTTAGGCCCATGAGTATAAATTAAGATTTGAAATGTCTAATTCATTTAAAACTAATACAGCTGAAGGATATAATAGATGTTTTCCAAGACTTAAATATGGGAATTTTTGGTAGAAGTGCAAGACCAGTAATCCTGCAGTATAAAGTCACAGAAATATACTACTGAAAAAAAGGATACTGAAACTTGATAACAGAACTGATAAATAGAAGTGCACATATTTGTTTCCGGAAGCGTCACTTCCAAAGGTTGAAAAAAGTTGACAGCTCATGAGCCAACAAAGAGATTTTATGAATGCTTCGCTAGACATGAGCTACTGGTTGTTGCCTAAAGGTTGTTTTTTTCAACAGGACTGAAAAATACAATAAAACACAAAGCTTGAATTTGTTCAGCTCTAACAGGCTGCTGTAGTTAGATATTTGAAAAAGACGACTCACTGGGTGTACGTAAAGCTGATTATTTCATAGTATTAATTCAATACTTATTACAGTCAGTACTAAATGGATGTCTAACACTAATGTAAACCAAAAGATATTCAAGAAGCCACTATCTCAAAGATACACCTACACCCATTTTAGTGTACAACAACTATAGGAAAGGCGCATCTGACCAACTATACTCTCTGAAACAGATACTGAAATAAAAATATAAGAAATTCCCAAGCAAGTCTTGAATACTTTGGCAGGTCTAGATTTCTCCAATTTTCTTGTCTCTGACAAAAGGAGGAAATCTCCGTACTCCTTTCTGATTATATACAGGAGAAACTAATGCCATGAGATAATAAAATCATCTCACAGACTAAATATTAGACAAAGTAATCTAAAACTCCTCGGGACAATGAAATATACGCAAAGTTATCAACTACCGGTAGTTGATCTATATCTTGCTCTCAGCATTGCATGGTAAAACACATTTTTCTAACGATCCCAGAATTAAAATATAATGGCTACTGCTCACATGGAATATATTAATATTTTCTAAATCTTCAAGAAGAAAATTATTTACATTCATGGTTTTTATACATCAATATTTCTGAAGAAATGTATAGACTTTGAACTTGTATCAGACTATTTGTAAGAAATAATTCTAGTATCTTTGGTGTTTGTCAGATCATGCCTTTCTTAGAATGCGACAGTGCCATGCCTGGCCCATTGTAATAACTATTTTAAAGCCTAATTTGCATTTTCTTCTACCTTCTTTAAGCATTTTTTGTTTGACTTAGTCCTCCTTCTCACTTATATAAGATGACCTAGTCATGACCTTTCAACCCCAAATCAGATAAATATCATGCCCAAACTACAGTGTAACAATGTCATATTAAAAGGCATAACTCTTTACAATCTACAACACTTCCAGCTTTTACACTTTTAAACACTTACTGTACATTCATATTTGACAAAGAATGGTCAACATAAAATAATGTGAAATTTCATTTCAATTAATATTTTTCACTTCAATTCTTTTACAATTATTGTCACTGATTCTTAAAAGATATGTCAAAAAGTCATTTCATTTTAATCATATTTAAAGTTTGCTATTTTTCAAGATAGCAAATCAGTAAACCTGAAGAAATCTGCATTTAATTCCATTTGACCGGCATCCTTGTAAGCACTTGTCAATGCAGTCTTCATAAAGGCTTGAGAAGCAGATATTTAAAATCATTTGGCCTTAGTAATGCAATTAAGTCCATTTTATCTGTTTGAATACCCAATGAATGGAAGCACTAATTGTTACTATATACATGAAAGTTGCAAGGTATTTGTTTGGAGTGCTACGGAGTACAGTGTGTTTATACAGTCATATACAGGAGACTACATATGCACAATACTTTATACATTGACTCCGACAGAGACGTCCATCTGCTTCTCAGGCAACTGCATGGAAGCTGTCTTCCGGCTTCTTTCTGTCATCTTCGATTCATGGCCATTCACACTTTAGACAAATCATTTGGCAAACTTCTAACTAATTTATCAAATTTACAGAATCTAATAAATGCAACAAATGGATACTAGAAACAGATAGATACCAGGGTTAAACAGAGTATAAAGTCAAAGAATGCCTGTATATCAGGATTGTGAAATATAGTAACTAGAGTTACCTCCCTTCACACATTGTCTTCACTATTGGCCAAGTTCAATATATGCATGTTTTGAGTAGATTAATATAACCTTCATAAATACCACTGATTGCACATTGATGAAAATATTCAATATGAACACTAATGAAGAAATATCCTTCAGTGCTTAATTCTACAGAATGTGAATATTAAAATGTAATGAAGTGATAAATTTGTCTTACAAACTGCTCAGGGATGGTAAACTCAAAAAGGTTGAAGCACTTTGTAATGTAAATTTAACAAAAATTGCAAAAGTTCAGTTATTTCTGCACACATAATATCTGTACAGTTTCTTGACTGAAAACTGACATTATTCAGATTCAAATAAAACAATAAATATTATAGTGGTATGAACGAGACAAAAGTGAATAATGTAATTCTGTACGAGATGATTCATCAATCCGCACCTGAACACGTTGCAAAAAAAGCTGCAAATTCTTTGTGAACAAAGACGCACACATCGATGAAGCTTAGTCAGTAACTGAACACTTGGTTGCTGAGTCACTGACTTGTAAACTGGAACAGAATGCGAGGAGAGACATCACTTGAAGGAGACATGAAACAACGCCTCGGAGTAATTTGCACCTGAAGGCCAATGTTGAACAGTTGTTTCAGTTCAGAAAGAGCTATGTCCCTTGATATACACCTTCTGTGTGTATCCGTATCACACATTGTGAACCAACTGCGTATACACTAGACTTCGGTGTTTCCTTGTGTGAGATCACCAGCCGTGTAGTCATTAAAGAGTTTTCTTGCATCAAGTTCAAGGGAATTAAGGCATTGTGTCATTGGAACCGTCCAAACAGCTTTTGACACATTGTGATGGGATCCGCGAACAACACGTGATTTTGGAACAATATAGATCGGAAAAGATTGTGACACATCGGAACCACTCCAAACATCTGTCTGTGTAGCAAGCAGTTGCTTGTAACAATGCTCTCGAACATTTTGTGACACGTTGTGTCCAGATACGAGTTTCTGGAAGTATTTAATGAGAAGGGGAACGCAAGAGGATTTTTAAATAATTTTGCGGATCACCTAGACCGCTACTATGTATTTACACTTGGTGTTACGCCATTTCTAAAATACTACATATCTACACGGGTAATTGACCACTTTCATCTTTTTTTCGATCCTTCCATAGTCAAATTTGTTAGCATCAATTCTAAATACCACAGAGCATAAAAAGACACAAATATTGTTTTAAGGAACAAGCTAAGCAGGTTTGTGTAACTGTCATCTACTCCATCTCATCTGCAACATCGTCAATAACTCTCAGCCGTGTTGCAACTTCATACCTTGACATCCATGTGGAATACAATCACAGCATCTGTTTGCCCATTATCTTGTTAAACACGGTTCCTTCCAATCATCCAGTTCAACAAAATGATGCTATGTCATCAATATTATTCCTAGTTTATGTACACAGACAATGACGTACATTCCTCCATCTTGGAAACACAGGTTCTATCAACAAACTGTAACCATGAACTATAGTTGGACCACCTGACTAAGCCAGTTTTGTAATCACACTATTCAAATCACCTTAAATATCACATCCAAGTCTTCAAATATATGTCATCAATTCAAGTCAGATTGCACTATCACACTAGTTTTATCCATTGCACATAGCAACTGCATGTGTCTTAACAGTCCAGATTAATTCAGTTTCATCTGGTTTTTGCAGTCCAGACAATTCCAGTTTCATGCAGTTCTCACACCAAGAGTCTTCTACAGTCCAGATTAACCCAGTTTTATCTAGTTCTATACAGTCCAGATTAATCCAGTTTCATCTTGTTCTTTCCAGTCCAGATTAATCCAGTTTCATTTAGTTCTATACAGTCCAGATTAATCCAGTGCTCACAGCATGAGTCTTTACAGTCCAGATTAACCCAGTTTCATCTTGTTCTTTCCAGTCCAGATTAATCCAGTTTCACAGTGTTCACAGCTTGAGTTATATCCGGTTTAAGCTAGTCCTAACACATATGATCCTGGTTCTACCTGAACAGCCACTGCAGCACGACCTGAACGGCCAGAACGATGGCCAGTAGAACCCACTCCCTCCCCGTGCTGCGTGCTACGATGGCAGCCTGAGCCTCCTGCGTCTGTTGGACTTTGAACATCTGCTGCTGCAGCGTCTTCAGGGACTTGTTGATGTCCTGCTGGACTTGCAGCAGTGGTTCCACCAGCTTGCTGATGTTCTCCTCCGATATGCGCACCTTCCCGTTGCTGGGAGACTGGTGGAGACTGCTGCCTGTGTCTGGAGAGAATAGTTGTGGTCAGTAATGGGTGATGAATGTTATCAGTGAGTGAGTGAATGAGTATGTTTTTACGCTGCTTTTAGCAATATTCTAGCAATATTCTGGCACATGGCAGTTCAAAATAATATCTCAAACAATATCAGCTGAATAATGTTGCTGTGAAACATTTGCACACATTGTTGTTTGTGTCTGGAATCGTGGTATGTTCGGGCTGGTGGTATGTATATAAATAAAAGAGTGAGTGAGTGAGTATGGTTTTACACAGCTTTAGCAATATTCCAGCAATATCACGGTGGGGGACATCAGAAATGGGCTTCACACATTGTACCCATGTGGAGAATCGAACCCGGGTCTTCAGCGTGACAAGTGCAAAACCATACTCACTCACTCATGAGCAATTGAGTAACAATATAGACCCAAGTAAATCACTTATGCTACTCAGAAAACTAAGACTTAATTCTTCTTAAGAAACACAATGAGTTTTAGTAATAATGAACATAGGGTACTAACTCTTGTCATAGTTTAATGACCTCCATGCACTTTGTCATAGTTATCTCCCTTTGACCAACAAGTCATATTGTTTACTGTTACTCTGTGGGCCTGTATCTGTTAAAGAGTCTATTGAGCATCAAATTTCCAGTCCAATTGTTTTCCAACTTACTTGTGCACTCGGATGAATCGCTCTCGTGACGATGTTCAGGATCTGGTGTTGAACTTCCGCTCTCGTCCCTTCGTCGACTCATGGATGACCTTTGCACTCTGGGAATATTGGCCAATATCAACGGATTTTCGTGTTTCTGTTCCAGACTAGTAATACTCATGGTCCGAACTACAGGGGTCCGATGCCGTGTGTGAGTTTGAATTATATAATCATTTTCGTATTGCACTAAATCATTGCTTGGGTCCCAAGGCCGCATGCTGTGAATAGAAGCATAACAGTTATTCATGGTGCCCAACTTATTTAAAAGATTGTGGCTTGTCATCAGAAAAAGATATAATTCTTTGCAATAGATAAAGATTAAACATTTCATGAATTCTGTGAATGAAAACAATTTCTCAGTACGAAGTGAATGAATGCTATTTTATGCCACAGTAATTCACATTCATGCTATATCACAGCACTTCCTAATCTTCAACTCTCGCATAAGATAAGGAGACTATTTCTGAGGCAATAAATCAGCATTTCTGATATGAAAATTCTACGCTAATTTTACTATCAAATGTGCCGTAATATCTATTGCTGCCATGTTGACTAATATAGTCTGATTGTTTTCTTGTTGATCACTGCACTAGCAAAAGGGGCGGTGGGGTAGCCTAGTGGTTAAAGCGTTTGCTCGTCACGCTGAAGGCCCGGGTTCGATTCCCCACATGGGTACCATATGTGAAGCCCATTTCTGGTGTCCCCCGCAGTGATATTACTGGAATATTGCTAAAAACGGCGTAAAACCAAACTCAGTCAGTCAGTCAGCAAAAGTCCAGCAAAATCATAGGTCTAAAAAATTGAATCTTGACCAAACAATCAAGTCATTGACATCATGAGCATTGACCCAAACAACTGGGATACGATGACACGCATTACCGGTCAGTGAGCCTGACTACCCCCTCCCACTAGCTGCCTCTTGAAAAATGCATGGGTTGCTCAAGACCGATTCGGGGTGGTGGGCTAACGTTGGGGTTAAAGCGTTTGCTCATCACCGAAGAACCGGGTTCGATTCCCCACATGGATACAATTTTGAAGCCCGTTTCTGGTGTCCCATTTCTGTGATATTGCTGGAACTAAACTCTCTTACGCTCACACAAGACCCATTCTAACCCAGATCGACAGGCGACTAATACATGGATGCTTTAGTAATACAATTACTCAAAAGCTTCCGAACCAAGACCTGTTTTACCAAACCTCGATCTACCCTGAGATAAAGCTTAAGATCATAACTCTACATACTCAATATGTCTGTAAATCCAGTCAGCAGTTATCAAGTCTCTCTCGAAGAATTTGGGTATCCAATCCTGCAACTTGGCTTTACGTTCTCGTGCATCCTTGCGCTGTCGCTCTTCCAGGAAGTGCTTCTCCTGCGTGGCTCGGTGCATGTCAGTTGTAACCACGGCATCACTCACATTCTTCCACAACCTACAACACAGCAGCAACACTGTAGACAACATAACAACAATGTAACAACAGTATAACAACGCAATGTGCAACAGGGTTTTACCCGACTGACAAACATGGGTGTCCTAGGCACCCCCAATTATTAGTCTTAAGGGTCCTTGCGGGCCAAATGAAGGTCCTGTGACCGAGTGAGTTTAGTTTTACGCCGCACTCAGCAATATTCCAGCTATATGGCGGTGTCTGTAAATAATCGAGTCTGGACCAGACAATCCAGTGATCAACAGCATGAGCACCGATCTGCGCAATTGGGAACCGATGACATGTGTCAACCAAGTCAGCTAGCCTGACCACCCGATCCCGTTAGTCGCCTCTTATGACAAGCATAGTCGCCTGGGTTGCTGAAGACCTATTCTACCCCGGATCTTCATGGGTCTCCTGTGACTGAACAGTGTACTGTATGCTTTGATAATATCAATTGAATCATTGACTTATAGATTTCTGAAAGAAACAACCAAACACTTAGTAAAGATGTGTTGTGGGTACAGTAAATAAGCATCCCTTTGGACACAGTGAATTGTTTTTCTGTGTCCATTTTCTACATTTGTGCATACTGGACGCACATTTGCACGTCTTGTAAATTGCTGGTGCATGAGTATGGTCGCACCAAACCCAGAAATGTAAGTCAGAACTGGGGTTCAAATATACCATCATATATTCTCTATGCTCTATGTAAATCATCAACAAATAAATCAAACCTATATTTAGGATGTTTGTGAATCACAAACATCTACAAAGAGAAAGGTATGTCTTCTTCGGCCTGGTTAAAAAACTACAGGTCATACAACCTAAGGAGTCATTTCTGCATTCATTATTCTATTAATTTGTTGTTTAACACCGCAGTCAGCAATTTTCCAGCTCAGTGACAGCGGTCTGTGAATAATCAAGTCTGGACCACACAATCCAATGACTGACATCATGAGCATCCATCTACTGCAACTGGGATACTATGACATGCATTAACCAAATCACCGAGCCTGATCAACCAATCCCCTTAGTCGCCTCTTTTAACAATGATGGGTTGCTGCACCAGTTCTAACCCAGGGTCTTCCATGGATTAGGGAAGATGGTACACTCATCCAACGTCTCACCTCTCTGACTCCATCTCCCCTTGTGTCTCAATGGGCAGGGTGTATCTCTTCAGACGCTGGCTCTTGATCTCAGAAGTCGGGTTCCAGAATAACTCTTGTTCCTGAAATACATTTGTAATTGTTCCTAAAATGCATCAGTCAATGTTCCTGAAATACATCTATGTTCCTGATATACATTTGTAAATGTTCCTGAAATACATCAATGTTCTTGATAGGAATGTCAATGTTATTGAAACACATGTGTTAATCAGGGGTGGAAATAACCCATTGCCCAACGTCCGAGTCCAGTGTTTTTTTCTGTCGGGCAAGCACATTTGTATATCACGCTGTACCGGTGTCCGGTTGACATTCCAATGTTAATTATGTTGCTTTTATAAAAAAAATCACCAAAAATATCGGCCGGTATAGCGGAAAAATTATCAGGGCAAGTGATTTTACATGTGCCACTGTACCGGAGTACACTAACAATTTTAAAGTTATTTCCACCCCTGGTTAATGTTTCTGAAACACATGTGTCTATGTTCCCGCAATTCACACATACCTGCTCTTGAAATTCATGCTTAAACATTTTTCAAAAGGACTGGAATATGTTAATGAAGTCCATGATAAAAGTTCCTGATATAAACATGTAAGGTGATTAAATTGCACACTTCTGAAACAAGCTGTCTGTACTCACAAAAAGGCCCCTGAGCACCGAGGCCCTGGGTCCCAACAAGGAGGATAATGCTGGTCTTACCCCTGAGCACCGAGGCCCTGGGCCCCAACAATGAGGATAATGCTGGTCTAACCCCTGAGCACTGAGGCCCTGGGTCCCAACAATGAGGATAATGCTGGTCTAACCCCTGAGCACTGAGGCCCTGGGTCCCAACGATGAGGATAATGCTGGTCTTACCCCTGAGCACCGAGGCCCTGGGCCCCAACAATGAGGATAATGCTGGTCTTACCCCTGAGCACCGAGGCCCTGGGCCCCAACAATGAGGATAATGCTGGTCTAACCCCTGAGCACTGAGGCCCTGGGTCCCAACAATGAGGATAATGCTGGTCTAACCCCTGAGCACTGAGGCCCTGGGTCCCAACGATGAGGATAATGCTGGTCTTACCCCTGTGGACTTGTCCTTGATGTATATCTCCTGGTCCCAGTGTCCCTCCAGATTGTACAGGGTGTCCAGCCCAAGCTTCAGCTTTCCTGTGATCCGGTTCGATGCCTCCCCACTACCCAGGAATGGCTGAAATGCAGAGATTGGACATTGACAAAATCACTTTAGATTCATCCCAGTAGTCAAGAACCCCGTCTTCTTGGCTGATTACTCTGAGAGTCAACTACAAATCTACAAAGGACATTTGTTGGTGTTCATTTACATTAGTTCTGGATGAAGCGAGGATAAATGGGGCATTACATTTCATTCAAGCTTCATACACATATACAACGATGTAATTTGATTTTTGAAATTCCTACCTTGAGTTTGAATTCCAGTTCACATCTGTATCCTGTCTTTGGGCAATCTAAGGTAACCTTGCCTCCCATCTCCATGGTGAGGGTGCCGATCAGTATACCTGAAACATGCCACACTCATCAGCTACATTTCTTACTACACTACAAATCACAACCCTCAGTAACAATATTCCAGCAATATCACAGCGGGGATACCAGAAATGGGTTTCACACATTGTACCCATGTGGGGAATCAAACCTGGTTCTTTGGCATGACGAGCGAATGCTTTAACCACTAGGCTACCCCACCGCCCCAGGAAACAAGAGATCCCGATTGAGAGCGAACTATCTAAAACATATCCTGCATATATTACTGCAAATAAGCCAAATTTAGAGGACCAAAAAAAGCAGTCTGTAAAAGGGTGTCAGCCCAGCTGAAGGTTACACTTTCATCAAATTCCATTTTCTGGTGATAAGAAAATGACATCGTGTCCCTTTGCATGAATGAACAAGAGAAAATGACTGATGAAAACGGCCTCATTGATAGGATAAGTAAGATTGCAATAGTAAGTCTCTTGCTTGTAAATAGCTGACCCCTTTGAAATGTGTGTATTGAAAGGTGTCGGTACAGATTGTAGTAGGTTTACTTTAGGTGATTGGTAGAGGTAGCTGACTGAGGCACTTGTAAAATGTCACCTACTGTAGTGCTAGATTACAGGTTCCACTACACTAAATCAGAATCACATGCTCCCTGAGCGAGAACCGTATGTAAACATCTGAAGAGATAGAGACATATGACAGCTGTGATTGGATGAAATAGTGTAAGACAGTTATGTTTTTTAAAAGCACATCCACCCAGTAATTAAAACGGACCACAATTTTAAGTTTTTAGTGCTGTTATTTTTATCACCATGATTATGCCTATTGTGTGTACAGATATTTTCCAGTAGGTGACATTTGGTGCAGAACTGGGGTTGATGTGTTCCGCTTCCACTGCTCGGAAATTTAACCGGACAAGTTGGCCAGAAATTGTGTTTTATTGTAGTTTAAAGGCCAGACTGTACCCATGTGTACATGGATAATTAAAAAAAAAAAAAGGTTACTAACGAAGTCTATGGGAAAACATTTGGTGTTGTGTAACCTATAACCTAAAACAAGATTAGAGTTACCTCCCCTGGTTTTTAACACCACCACACACAACAGACTTGATCATTAGAAAAATTTCTGAATAGCACAGTTTCTAGAAATCTAATATCTATACAAGAATGATATGAACAGGTTTGTTTCCATTTATCTACTTGCCATGTGTGAGATTTGATACCTATTGGAAAACACAAGACACATGCCAGCTTCAACATTAAAGATCAGAGACAAAATTGTTCCAAACATTTAATTGTGAACAACTACTGGACATCTGAAAGTACACTGACATATAAACTGCTACTGACACATATCTAGTTTGTATTGCCTTGTTTGTTTGTGAGCCTAAATCTGTCCATTTCAAATAACTCACGTCTCACTGGGCCTGCAAGTGAGTAAGCTAAAATTTGATTTAAGAGTTTCTAACAAGCTCTTATTACCTTTACAATGGGCATATGGCATTGTGATGAAATAGTCCTCCCCTCGTTTGAGGAACGTCAATTTAGCTGTTCCGTCCAGCATGGCGGAAAGAGAGTTGCCTGCAGGAACATAAAGGAGGTTAAAAAAGATGAACCCATAGAAAATAACTTGATACTCTTTTTTATTACTATAAGTTACCGGTATGAATAAAATAAGTTGTTTTTTTCAAGATTGTGTTTAAAATCTGAACAAGATTGCTAATACAATTCTTTCTCTTTATAAAATCAAAAGAAAAATCTGATAAACTGAAAAAAGGTTTGAAGGGCAAGATTTTAAATGAAGATTTCAGAAACAAAGAATCAAATCTACAGGTTAAGCTCACTTTATACCACAGGTAAGGATTGCTTTCACACATTAATCAAGAGACAAATTCTACAGAGGTGCAGTGGTTACCATAGAACTTGGACTTGGCAAGGATGCTGCCACTGATGTTGAAGCCGTCTCTCCTGTTTGTGACGAAGAAGGCTGACACGGGAGGATGGTGTGAGATCTGCCGCAATGTAAACCTCAATATTACCCATGTGGTGAAACATAACCAGTGTCATATATATCATATGTGCTCATGTTTCTGTATTTCGTTGTCTGTGACGTCTTTAAACAACTGAACTTGACGTCAATGACGAGGGCCATCACACTTGCTTGCCATGTTTTACTGCACAAATGTACATGAATAAAATGGATAATAAAGAACTTATTATACTGAAGCAAGTGTGTCACATGACAAATACGAAACTCATGCAAAATTATATATGGCCTTCATTCTCGCTCGGGCAATACAAAATTTCCCACTCGTTTCGTATTAGTTGTATGACACACTTGCTCGTATAATCCTGTCTGTGGTCTGATACACATGATATCTCATGAAAAACACTAATCGTGAGACTGAATATGGTTTTATGCACTGTTGTGCAATACTGCAACAATACTATGTTGATGAAACCAGAAATGGGCATGTACACACATTGGGTATCAAATCACTTTGCTGTGATGAATAAAAGCTACAACCACAAGGCTACCCCACAGCCCCTCGCAAATACTGTGGAACCTTTTGGACGTACCTGTTCTGCGACGTAGAATGTGCGGCTGTTTGTCTTGGGATGATGCCAGTAACATCGAAAGGTCTCTCCGATTATCGGGTTGTAGGGTTTCTTTAATCCCTGATGAAGAAAGATTGAAACACGCGAGTCAGACAATCATCTACACGGTTAGACAAATAAATTCTTGAATGTATCATTTCACAGATGGCAAGTTTACAGAAACAAGCATACTTTGACAGTAAATGTACATACTTATACATAGGCTACTATTTTTTCTTGTCATTCAAATTTAGTGAGAGAGGGAGTTTAGTTTTATGCTGCTTTTAGCAATATTCCAGCAATATCACAGTGGGGACATATTGAGCCCATGTGGGGAATCGAACCTGGGTCTTCGGCGTGATGAGCGAACGCCTTAACAAACTGGTTACCCCACACTCCTCAAATTTAGTATACAGTAAAACATGTGTAATTGTGCTTGGAGAATTTGCTGAAGGGGGCAATATTACATTTGACAGAATAGATCTGAAGATTTATTTACTTTGGGTTTCTTGTAGAATCCTGACAGGTACCATCGGGCAACAGCCTTCATTCTGGTTAGAGGGTCTTCTTGCAGCACGGCTCTGGAAATCAGAGGTATAATGGTAAGTTTCTTGTGGGGCTTGTGTCGCATTAGAGTGCTAATTGATGTCCCTGATTCTGTTTTTGGGGTAAACCAATACAGCAAGGTCACGACAGCACACGCCTCGTGGCACATAGGTCACAATAGACAGATACTGCGACACACATATTCACATCACATCAAGTGGGAACTTCTTGACAAATAATATTTCAGAGCAGGTTCCAAAGAAAAGCTAGCTTAAGTGGTTATTTTACAAGAAAACCTGAAGCTAGTTACGATTCATTCTGAGACATCTTACTGACAAAATGCTGGGGTGTCACTAGTCTTCTAAACAAGTCGCACGTAATTTAGCAAGTGTATTGTTTTGTATCAACACACAAAAAAACCTGTATCATGTATTGTATCAGTGAAGGAAAACTAACAATGCACTTCTATTGTGTATACACACAGCATATTGCAGATCAAGCCTAAGTTGTCCCCCTTTATGCCATCAGTACGATGCCATCACTGCCTGACTGTGACTAAATAGTTCAACCAGGAGGCATTGTAAAGAGACCAGGATGTTTGTCTTGTAATCAGGATACAATGTTTTTGTTTGATGGTCTTAGTGTGATTTATCTGTTTCTAACATGTCTCATATTGAAGTAAATCTTTGCTAAGTCTGCTCTCTAAAATGTCTCTGTTATCTGAAATTTATGAGTCAAACTTGTGTTTGGAGTTTACGACAGGGTAAGATGCCTGACAACTGATGGCCTTCTGTTGTAAGATATGGTAGTGTAATTCTGTTGTATCATTCCTGAAGACAGATCTACAGTTTATCCACTCAGTTCCTCCTAACATCGACCCGTGAGGATCCGGGGTAGAATAGGTCTTCAGCAACCCATGCTTGTCATAAAAGGCGACTATGCTTGTCGTAAAAGGCGACTAACGGGATCAGGTGGTCAGGCTCGCTGACTTGGTTGACACATGTCATCGGTTCCCAATTGCGCAGATCGATGCTCATGCTGTTGATCACTGGGTTGTCTGGTCCAGACTCGATTATTTACAGACCGCCACCATATAGCTGGAATATTGCTGAGTGCGGCGTAAAACTAAACTCACTCACTCACACTCCTCCTAACATCCTTTTGACACAGAGAGGCATTGTAAAAGACCTGTTTGTAATCAGGATACAATGTTTTTGTTTGAAGGTGGATGTGATTTATCTGTTTTTAACATGTAGCCATACAGATTTCATGCACATTTGTTGTTTTGGTAAATATGTTTTCCTGCTGGGTGTGAGATCCAAGATGGTGGAAAGTTCACATGAGATAGCTAAACATATATTGCAAGGAAATCCTGAACATATATGAAAAAACATGAGCCACACATGCAGGATATTAACAAAGGTCTGTTTCTATTGTTTGGTTTGGAATTTAGGATAAATTTGATGGTAGGTGTTCAACTTCCTTAATTTTTTTCACTTCTTAAATGCAAAGACTTGCACAAATAATTTTTTTCAATGTTACACATAATCATTATCGCTGTGAATTTTTTATCAAGCGGCATAGAGTCCAAAGGCTTGTCACAGAATAGTTACGGCTCAATGCAGCCCAAAATAACATCCCAAACGATATCAGCTGACGAGTGAGCGCTTTAACCACTAGGTTACCCTACCACCCCTTAAATTAAAGAAAACGAACAATTATAAATGTCTTGGTTAAAGAAAAACAAGCTGCCAATCACAACTTATTTTCCCATATATTTCTGGTCCTGTTTTCTTTCTCTTCCAACACATGTAACAGTGTACAATATCAGTGCATAAATGAGTGAGTGAGTGAGTGAGTTTGGTTTTACGCCGCTTTTAGCAATATTCCAGCAATATCACGGCGGGGGACACCGGAAATGGGCTTAACAAATTGTACCCATGTGGGGAATTGAACCCGTTTCTTCGGCGTGACGAGCGAACGCCTTAACCACTAGGCTATCCCACCGCCCCAGTGCATAAATGAAATGCAATTTGGCTCAATGATGTCATTAGGAATTCTGTAAATTGTTTTTCCTGTATCACATAGAGCTCACTGTTTCAGAAAAGATTTGTGCCATAAATAGGATAATACTGCAATGGGCTAAAGACATTCTCATTATGGCATTGTATTTGTTTTTCGTTACTGTGAAAGAATGGTCTCAATTATGACCGTTTCATGAATAGGTCACCCACATACCATACTATTTAACCCTTTATTAAGGCAATGGTTAGTTTATGTTCCAATGATTTATCTAATGGGAAAAGTGTCTTCACGATAATTTATCTTCTCTGTGACCAACCATAATTGGTGTATACTCACTATGGTATAAATGCACGGTTATAGTTCTGTGACCAACCATTATTGGTGTATACTCACTATGGTATAAATGCACGGTTATAGTTCTGTGACCAACCATTATTGGTGTATACTCACTATGGTATAAATGCACGGTTATAGTTCTGTGACCAACCATTATTGGTGTATACTTACTATGGTATAAATGCACGGTTATAGTTCTGTGACCAACCATTATTGGTGTATACTCACTATGGTATAAATGCACGGTTATAGTTCTGTGACCAACCATTATTGGTGTATACTCGCTATGGTATAAATGCACGGTTATAGTACATGTAAAGGTTTGAAAGCTTGGTGTATATTTGACTGGGAATTATAGTAATATCAACTAAGCAATATCAGTAGGTATTGATACATTGATAAATAATAAAATTGTATTCTGCTTATATTTAGATAAAACTTACTGATATAGAGATATGTAATTAATAAATCTACATTATATGAACTTGGCAGATCTATTAAACATTTCAAATAAAATTTTCTGCCTCTTTATATACAATGACATCGCTATTGCTAGCACATGTGTGGTGTTTTTTATATGATGTCAGCTTATGAATCAGAGGGCTAAATATATGTGACACCAGCTGGTGTATATATGGTGTATATGTTACAGTCAGATTGGGAAAACAGTTATTTTGTGAAATAACAACGAGGGTCAGACATTCAACTATCCCTACTGCTCGTTCTCTTTCTTCCTGGGTTAACCTTGGCATTCTCTCTGTGTGACTTTATGTGCAGTGATATTGCAGTGTTGGACAGGCCATTTATGGTATATATAGTGTGTATATGGTGTGTATATGGTGTATATACGGTGTATATATGGTGCATATATGGTGCATATATGGTGTATATATGGTGCATATACGGTGCATATATGGTGTATATATGGTGTATATACAATGCATATACGGTGTATATATGGTGTATATATGGTGCATATATGGTGTATATACGGTGTATATATGGTGTATATACGGTGTATATACGGTGTATATATGGTGTATATATGAATGGTGTATATACAGTGTATGGATGGTGTATATATGGTGTATATACAGTGTATACACGCTGTATATATTGTGTATATACGGTGTATAGATGGTGTATGGATGTAACTCACTCTGAGAGGAGGTCAGCATGGTAGTAGTAGTCGGAGAGTTTATCCAGGAACGATCTCGGCTCAAGGATAAACGTCGGCAGCACCACCTTTGACAAGTCCATACCTGGACGAACCTGCAAAAATAGCGATTAGATTCAGATTCCTGCTTTTATGGATGAATCTTAATGTGATATATTGCTATCATTACATAGGATTCCCTAAAAACACTTGCCTCACCAATTAGATCGTCTGAGAGAACTTAACTCACCACTTGCATTCCCTTTGGCTAAAGATACAGCCTGTTATCTGTCTGACCACAACTATGTTATCTGTCTGACCACAACTAGTTATCTGTCTGACCACAACTAGTTACCTGTCTGACTACAACTAGTTATCTGTCTGACTACAACTAGTTATTTGTCTGACCACAACTAGTTACCTGTCCGACCACAACTAGTTACCTGTCTGACTACAACTAGTTACCTGTCTGACCACAACTAGTTATCTGTCTGACCACAACTAGTTACCTGTCTGACTACAACTAGTTACCTGTCTGACCACAACTAGTTATCTGTCTGACCACAACTAGTTATCTGTCTGACTACAACTAGTTATCTGACTACAACTAGTTACCTGTCTGACCACAACTAGTTACCTGTCTGACTACAACTAGTTATCTGTCTGACTACAACTAGTTACCTGTCTGACCACAACTAGTTATCTGTCTGACCACAACTAATTATCTGTCTGACTACAACTAGTTACCTGTCTGACTACAACTAGTTACCTGTCTGACTACAACTAGTTACCTGTCTGACCACAACTAGTTACCTGTCTGACTACAACTAGTTACCTGTCTGACCACAACTAGTTACCTGTCTGACTACAACTAGTTACCTGTCTGACAAAAACTTGTTACCTGTCTGACCACAACTAGTTATCTGTCTGACTACAACATTTACCTGTCTGACCACAACTAGTTATCCGTCTGACCACAACTAATTATCTGTCTGACTACAACTAGTTACCTGTCTGACTACAACTAGTTACCTGTCTGACCACAACTAGTTATCTGTCTGACTACAACTAGTTATCTGACTACAACTAGTTACCTGTCTGACCACAACTAATTATCTGTCTGACCACAACTAGTTACCTGTCCGACCACAACTAGTTACCTGTCTGACCACAACTAGTTACCTGTCTGACCACAACTAGTTACCTGTCTGACTACAACTAGTTACCTGTCTGACCACAACTAGTTACCTGTCTGACCACAACTAGTTACCTGTCTGACTACAACTAGTTACCTGTCTGACCACAACTAGTTACCTGTCTGACTACAACTAGTTACCTGTCTGACTACAACTAGTTACCTGTCTGACCACAACTAGTTACCTGTCTGACTACAACTAGTTACCTGTCTGACAAAAACTAGTTACCTGTCTGACCACAACTAGTTATCTGTCTGACTACAACATTTACCTGTCTGACCACAACTAGTTATCCGTCTGACCACAACTAATTATCTGTCTGACTACAACTAGTTAACTAGTTACCTGTCTGACCACAACTAGTTACCACAACTAGTTATCTGACTACAACTAGTTATCTGACTACAACTAGTTACCTGTCTGACCACAACTAGTTACCTGTCTGACCACAACTAGTTACCTGTCTGACCACAACTAGTTACCTGTCCGACCACAACTAGTTACCTGTCTGACCACAACTAGTTACCTGTCTGACCACAACTAGTTACCTGTCTGACTACAACTAGTTACCTGTCTGACCACAACTAGTTATCTGTCTGACCACAACTAGTTACCTGTCTGACTACAACTAGTTACCTGTCTGACTACAACTAGTTACCTGTCTGACCACAACTAGTTACCTGTCTGACCACAACTAGTTACCTGTCTGACCACAACTAGTTATCTGTCTGACTACAACTAGTTACCTGTCTGACCACAACTAGTTACCTGTCTGACCACAACTAGTTACCTGTCTGACTACAACTAGTTACCTGTCTGACCACAACTAGTTACCTGTCTGACTACAACTAGTTACCTGTCTGACTACAACTAGTTACCTGTCTTAACTAGTTACCTGTCTGACCACAACTAGTTACCCTGTCTGACCTGTTACCTGTCTGACCACAACTTACCTGTCTGACTACAACTAGTTACCTGTCTGACTACAACTAGTTACCTGTCTGACCACAACTAGTTACCTGTCTGACTACAACTAGTTACCTGTCTGACTACAACTAGTTACCTGTCTGACTACAACTAGTTACCTGTCTGACTCGACCACAACTAGTTATCTGTCTGACCACAACTAGTTACCTGTCTGACCACAACTAGTTACCACAACTAGTTATCTGACTACAATCTAGTTACCTGTCTCTGACCACAACTAGTTACCTGTCTGACCACAACTAGTTACCTGTCTGACCACAACTAGTTACCTGTCTGACCACAACTAGTTACCTGTCTGACTACAACTAGTTACCTGTCTGACCACAACTAGTTATCTGTCTGACCACAACTAGTTATCTGTCTGACTACAACTAGTTATCTGACTACAACTCGTTACCTGTCTGACCACAACTAGTTACCTGTCTGACCACAACTAGTTATCTGTCCGACCACAACTAATTATCTGTCTGACTACAACTAGTTACCTGTCTGACTACAACTAGTTACCTGTCTGACTACAACTAGTTACCTGTCTGACCACAACTAGTTACCTGTCTGACTACAACTAGTTACCTGTCTGACTACAACTAGTTACCTGTCTGACTACAACTAGTTACCTGTCTGACAAAAACTAGTTACCTGTCTGACCACAACTAGTTATCTGTCTGACTACAACATTTACCTGTCTGACCACAACTAGTTATCCGTCTGACCACAACTAATTATCTGTCTGACTACAACTAGTTACCTGTCTGACTACAACTAGTTACCTGTCTGACCACAACTAGTTATCTGTCTGACTACAACTAGTTATCTGACTACAACTAGTTACCTGTCTGACCACAACTAATTATCTGTCTGACCACAACTAGTTACCTGTCCGACCACAACTAGTTACCTGTCTGACCACAACTAGTTACCTGTCTGACCACAACTAGTTATCTGTCTGACCACAACTAGTTATCTGTCTGACCACAACTAGTTACCTGTCTGACTACAACTAGTTACCTGTCTGACCACAACTAGTTACCTGTCTGACTACAACTAGTTACCTGTATGACCACAACTAGTTACCTGTCTGACTACAACTAGTTACCTGTCTCACTACAACTAGTTACCTGTCTCACTACAAGTTACCTGTTTGACTAGTGTCCAGATGAGACTTTTATTCTCGTCATTCACTTCTTCTGTTTGGCAAGTGTCTCCTTGCTGAAATCACAATATTTCCTTTGGCCATTATTCCCACATATCATTTTTCAACATTATACTGGCAGTTATTGACAGAAAACAACAGAAATGTGCCACAGTGCACTCACTGTGACGTAACGATGTGCCATTTAGAATTTCGTGCGTCAAAAGAAGAAATACTGTTCAGCTATCTTCAGTTTTGTTGAAGGTCATCTCACCGCATCAAGACAACCACCCAGTATCCTCATCTTTGAAAATCTGCATCTTAATGTTTTTTATATTGATACTTTAATCTCTCATACTACATCAACACTCCTCAAAGTTCTATTTACTAATCAAAAGTGATGACACTAAAGTTCTTAAGAGTATTCCTGCAAACACAGCATAACTATGTATGTTTTAACATATTTATTACACTCAATGATTTCACTGTGATCAGCTCATTATAACCAAACATCCCTGTACATACAACATGGTATCAGAAAGAAGCCATAATCAAATTACATCTAATCCAGAAAAAAACATTAAGCACTTATTATCTTCACAGTAGCCACAATTTCCTAGATTTTGTAAGTTTTCATAAAAAACACCGTTCCATACCAGTCCAAGTTCCTCAGAAAAGTTCTCCACATATTGACTCTCAAGTGGGTGAATACTTTCATCGAATGTCTTGTCGTTCTCATAATCTGATTGACTGGACTCAGAATCGCAGTTCGCCTCCTCGCGATCTGTCTTACTGTCTTCGTCGAGACCTGCAGGAGAAATTAGAAATTTGCAAAAACAGTTTATGTAGTAGTGGATCCTGCACAGCTAAATAGAACAAACGGTAATAAAGTAAAACCTCAGTGTTGGTCACTATGTGTCAGTTGATCACAAGTCAACAGTTGAGTTACATTTTAGAGAACCCGGCAAAGGTCCATTTCTCCTTTATTGTGGTCCTAGGGTGGTCCTATGTCCCATATTTAAACATAGGCCAATAATGTTGCCAAGAAACTTGGTTTGTAAAATGGAGCCCTGTACCCAAACCCCAAAGTCAGTCTCGAAATGACTCCTAAACATATCACTGACCTTGACCTTCAAAGAGTTTTAAGAAGTCAGTCCCTAAATGACTCCTCAATATGTCACTGACCTTGACCTTCAAAGAGTTTTAAGAAGTCAGTCCCTAAATGACTCCTCAATATGTCACTGACCTTGACCTTCAAAGGGTTTAAAGAAGTCAGTCCCTAAATGACTCCTCAATATGTCACTGACCTTGACCTTCAAAGGGTTTAAAGAAGTCAGTCCCTAAATGACTCCTCAATATGTCACTGACCTTGACCTTCAAAGAGTTTAAAGAAGTCAGTCCCCAAATGACTCCTCAATATGTCACTGACCTTGCCTGCAAAGAGTTCAAAGTGTTTTTCACTGACCTTGCCCTTCAAAGTGTTTTTCGCAGTCGCTCTCGTTGAGGTTATCAGTCTCGTTCTCAAAAGTCGCCATCATGGTGTCATGATCTGCGTCAACATCTGCATCTGCTGCCTGCAAGTCCCGGTCCTTTGTCATGGACCGCATCAGCAGGTTCGTGCATCGGAGAGCAAGCTCTAGCGCATCCATCCAACACTTGCCTGGAGAAGAGAAAGTATGTGTGTTCATGACAGGGCAATGACAATAGCTTAATTCAACTGATGCCACACTGTTTAAATGTTTGTCTGTTGTTCAATGCCACATTTGGTTATATTCCGCTTATATAACAGTGGTCTGTGAATAATTGAGTCTGGACAAAACTAGATCCTGATTTATCAGGACAGCCATTTATAGTCCATTTGATTGTGAAGTCAAAAGGACTACAATAGCTGAGAGACAGTGAGTGTGTCCCCTACTAATTGTATTATAGCCATGTATATACATCAGTATTATGGTATTCACATATTCCACCACTGATAGAAATCAAAAAACTGATCTGTGGTTTGTGAACATTTTACAACCAGACAAGCTACACCTCACCTCCAAATTGTTTGTTCTACTACAAAACCAAACATACGCACCTGCAGCCTCAGATGGCGCTCGGAATATCAGATAGGAATAGGGAAGAGGTTGTACAAAGGCACCGATTGTCTCCCCTTTGGGACCCTGAAAAATACACCGTAACCTTGAGTCTCACTGAGGTATCAGGTTATTATTCTTGCGCTGATTCTCAGCCCGACATTCACAACTAGACACTCTCTACATGCATTTGAACAAGTAACACTAAAGCAACACCTGGGCATTATGCAAAAGTATCCTAAAATTATGTATCAACAGATTTTCATGATTTCTGTTGTTTAACTAATGAAAATGCTAAACAAAAAAATTTCTTGCCATCTTTGAGTACTTAAAAAATGCAATATTCGTTAACTAATCAACTCCTCTGCATGAGTGCGTGAGTGAGTTAGTTGTACGCTGCACTCAACAATATTCCAGCTATATGGCAGCGATCTGTAAATAATCGAGTCTGGACCAGACAATCCAGTGATTAACAGCATGAGCATCAATCTGCACAATTGGGAACCGATGACATATGTCAGCCAAGTCAGCAAGCCTGACCACCCGATCCCGTTAGTCACCTCTTACGACAAGCATGGGTTACTGAAGGTTCATTCTAACCCAGACCTTCACGGGTCCCTCTGCATATAAATCATTAGGTACAAACTGAAAAACCAAAAGGAAAACATCTAGGAACAGCATCTCCCATACCCCATGAAAAAAACAATTGTTAAAACACTCTGACTTGACCGATCACAATTTTCTTCCTTTTATTTATTTTTCATTTTAAGTCTCACACAGCTTTATTCCAGCTACATGATGGCTTTCTGTAAATAATCTGGACCAGATAATCCAATGACTGACATCTTGAGCATCGATCCTCTCAATTCGTACATCCTGACATGAAATCAACAAGCCACCGAGGCCGACATCCCGATCAATTCACCCGGCTCTTGCAACTAAGTGATGTAGCTCGGGACCAATATTCTTACCCAGAATCCCCTCTGGTTCACAAGGAAGTAACCTCATCACACAACCATGTGGAATGCAAACACCATCCTGTGTCAAATAAACCCCTGTATCTACACACAACTCCCTCCAGCTGGATCAATAATGCATTGTTTTACAAGTCTACCGGCAACTCTGACACACGTGCTGGACAGTAATACCATCATTCATAAAACTTTGATCAATTTAACGCCAAGATTTCAGATCAAAGAACTTCTAAGAGGTCTAGCTTAGTCGCTATGTAAGGTTTCTGGATTTGCCGTTGCTATTGAATGGAACGAAGTGTGATACAGATTACTCAAAAGAAGTTAAGAATATTGAATTGATTTTTTTTATTGGTAATATTTCATTGTACACTACTCAAATAAAGTTAACAATTGTTTTATTGACTACAGCTAAGCTCACATTGACTAAAGTTAATCTCTCACTGATTACAGATAATCTCAGATTATTTTCATGAGGCTACATTAAACTTAATACCAGGCTCCAAATAATTGGTTTGATCAACATGACCATCAATATCATTTATCATGAGTGAGTATGGTGTTACGTTGCTTTTAGCAACATTCCTGCAATATCACGGCGGGGGACACCAGAAATGGGCTTCACACATTGTGCCCATGTGGGGAATCGAACCCGGGTCTTTGGCGTGACGAGCAAACGCTTTAACCACCACCATCCCCAATATCATCATGAGCTTACCATTCTACTCAACAGAACTTAAAGATCACCTGACAGATTAGCTAAAGCAATATGAAAGATGATCATCCTTAACTGCTGTTGAGCAGCATATGTCACACCAAGCTGTGTTTGACAAACAATGTCTACAGGCAGCTACACAGGAATCTGCATCAGTACAAACAAGGCCTCCAGCTTATCTGTCTATGGCGAAACTGACATTTAGATGCCGCGATGAACACAGGCTGACACTAGGTCAGCTAGACATATACTTCTTTATCACACGTACTGAAAGCATCACTGCCGTTGTCTGTCTGCCTTTACCATCAGTGCTATTGTCATCTAGACTTGCCTCAGGTGATACATCTTTTTCTATAAGCATTCATATTATTATTTATCCTTGAGTACGAAGTGCTCTGTATTCTTCAGTCAGTATTGATCAATGCAATGAATTTCATATCCTTGTAGTTATCAATATATTAAAGCTATTGTGAATTAAATAGCAACATATACAGATATTAAAAGTCTCACATTTGATTTATACCTTAAAGAAATGTCAGTTTGGAAACTTAGATACCAGGGGTATGCATGATATTCTTGACTAGAAACTATCAAGACCATTAACCATTATCTTAATGCATAAAAGCTTTCTTCCTCTGTACATTCCTTAAACACCCATGTAAACCCAATATTTTAAATGTATCACATGATGTGGAACCCATATTATCCTGGGGTTGACATTAGTGAGTGAGTGAGTGAGTTTGGTTTTACACAGCTTTTAGCAATATTCCAGCAATATCACGGCGGGGACACCAGAAATGGGCTTCACATATTGTACCCATGTGGGAATCGAACCTGGACCTTCAGCGTGACGAGCAAACGCTTGAACCAATAGGCTACCCCTAATCCCCCATATTTGACATTAAAGGAGGAAATAAAATATGCAAAATTAAAAGAGACCAATAGAAATAGAAAGAGTATGTTCCAACACAATATCTGCTCTTAAAGAATAACTCAAGACCATATTATGTTATTTGACAGTTACATGGTGTGCAAGTAGCCACAGGTCATTTCACAGCAAACATGTTGGCTATATACTGGCATCAGTGGCGAGTCTTTTAAAAGACCTTTTCTTGTACTGATTCTCATAGAAAATTTGATTGGTAGAAAACAATATGATGCATGGAAGATTTTTCAAATTTAGACCAAAAGGTGAGACTTTTTTTTAAATGCTAGACTTCTTTCATTCTCTTCCCACAGAGGTTACTTGTCATATCTTCCTACAAACCTCTGTTCTAATACGGTCATATTTCCTGGTTCTCGTAAAATCCCCTAGCGGCAAAAAATCACAATACGAATTATCTCCCTTCTTTCTGTCCAATCACAACACGTGTTACATCAACTTGACTAATACAAGCAAATGTTGGGTCACAAATATGCATCCTCTGCCAGGAACTTGTGTTGATGTGACACACAAGACATTTAATGGCTAGCTTGTCCGTTGTCAACGAGGGCGATGGAGACGCCATTGATCCGCCATTTACATGACTGAGTTCTATAAGAAACGTTTGCGCATCGCGCAGGGAAAGAGGTTCTAGTTTTCCCGAAGCATACGGAAATAACCGAGGCCTTGTGAATGATCACTTTTGAAACAACGTCGCTGATTGCACAACTAAATCTGATTGCAACCAATCATGAATCCTGAACACTCGCACCATGAAAGGGGCGTATTAGAACAGAGGTTCGTAGGAAGAAATGACAAGTAACCTCTGTGGGAAGAGAATGGACTTCTTTGGGTCCTTTTAAATATCATACATCCAAATCTGAAAACAAGTTAGCATTGTCACTTTTATTGTCAAAGTAATCTTTACTTTTTTAACCTTTCGCTGTATAAGAAAAAACCCTCATTCTGACTTTTTACCTTCTGACCTTTACATTTTAAGAGTGGCAGATCCAAAAACCAAGCAAACTAAATGTGATACCTGACATTTACACCAGATGTCAGAAAAATGAATTCTTTCATGTTTTTATAACATAAAAGAAATAAGGTGGACTTGAAAAACAAGTGTGTACATGAGACAAACAACGATACGATGTCGTTTTCTTACAGACTGCTCTTTTTTGGCCCTTAAAACTTGGCTTATCTATAGTAATATACCAGTTGTGTCCCAAATGGACTGTGCAAGAGTGGAACATACCTTTGTGGCCCATATAGACTGGTCAAGGGGGTGGTACAGTTTGAAACAGAAACCATCTTTCTTTGATGGTCGCTCGATGTGTCGACATGTGTTCAGGAGGACGGTACCGATCCAGTGGCTGCTCTGTGAGAGAGAACGAAGATGTCAATGTTACTACTACAACTGCATCAATTACAACAAATAGACATTACAACTACAACAAATAGAAATTACAACTACAACAAATAGACATTACAACTACAACAAATAGTCATTCAGGGTCTCCTTGCTTGAGTTGTGAGACAGTGTCATCATGTGTATCTAGCTGAATACGGACTTGAAGACTTTCAGGAATAGCTTGTTTGTTGTTGTGATGGTGTGTGGTTCTGTGCATAGTGAGTGAGTTTAGTTTTATACCGCTTTTAGCAATATTCCAGCAATATCACGGCAGGGGACGCCAGAAATGGGATTCACACATTGTACCCATGTGGGGAATCGAATCCGTGTCTTCGGCGTGATGAGCGAACACTTTAACCACTAGGCTACCCCAACATCCCAGGCCACAAATCAGTTGAAGTTAAACAATGTTGCGCACGGAGAGGTGACCACGTCTGGCAGCTTGACTCCTGAGAGTTTCTAGGACTTAAGTCCTTCCCACAACGAAGCACAATGTAATACATGTGGTCTCACCTTAGACAAGTGCGTTTGTATAAAAATTGGCCCTGCACAGCCAAAAATGGGTACCTGGTGGGATAAGTCATGTGACTATTAACCTTCTAGTGCCTCACAGGCAGCTTGGTTTATCCTGGGTAATAATAATCAGATTGTTCGCTTTGAGCATCCTTTGTGCGCCTTAAGCAGGATATGAAGCCTGGAAAGGCACGTTATAAGATTCTTAATCAAATTAAATTTTGTTAAAATCTGCACTCAGCAGTATTCCAGCTACATGGCAGTGGTTTATAACTGATAAAGTCTTGACCAGACAACCAGTGACTGACATTATGAGCATCAAACTACTAAATAAGGTTATGATGACAGGCATGCCTGATCATCCAATCCCATTTGTTGTCTCAAGGGAGACATTTCATAGCTAGCATCCAAAGACTTTTTGGAATGGTACATGTGTATGTGATCGATTGGTTGGTTGGTTGGTTGGTTGGTTGGTTAATTGGTTGATTGGTTGATTGATTGATTGATTGATTGATTTTAACACCACACTCAGCAATATTCCAGCTATATGGCGGCGGTCTGGAAATATTTGAGTCTGGACCAGACAATCCAGTGATCAACAGCATGAGTACTATGGTACTACTCACATTACATTACATGTCCGTACCTTTTGTTTCTCACTCTTGTACAGCACTAGGTACCCTGGCTTGAGGACACACCACAATTTGGTCCAGCTTTTCAATGTCCCCCGAACCTTCAGCCAATCAGCAAGGACTATCACAGAACGGTCTTTGAGCGTGCTCAGCAACTCCTTAGCTGCTGCTTTCTTCTGGCTCCGATAATTTTTCTTTTGTACCTGCATGACAAAAGTTATGGGTATAATACAATATTCTGCCACCTGAGTCCGATCACAAAGAAATCTCAGATAAATTCACACAAAGATAATGAATGTGATTGTTCAATGGACACCAATGTGACAACACTGACCCATATAATACAATGAACGTTAAAAACTTGGATCACTTCCAAATCTGTAACATGTCTTGTACGTGGCCTATACAGTAAATTTATGAGGTTTTCAAACAGCCGCAGCTGTGATGTCACAGCAAGGGGAGATAATCACTTTTCTACATAGGAATACCACCAGGGATAACTATGACTTAGTTTCAAATTTCATTTCCATTTCCGAATGTCTCAGTGGTGTCCACAGATAAAAGGCAACCATAATCCAGAGGGAACGTTTACGACCTAATTACAATATTCTGCCACCTGAGAAGGTATGGTGGTCGAAATCCTACAATCCAACGATACGTACATGGCAAATTGGGTTTAACTTCACAGTTCATCAGTTAGGTTGTAGTGCATGGGTTATATGTAAAAGGAGGATTAACATTACAGCGAGCCCACATTGCAATCCTGGACATTGATACAAGGATAATTATCTGATCAAAACTCAAATAATTGACTAGTTGATTCTGGAATGGCTGAGCACTGTTTCATTATAAAAATTGAAGTTTTCTTCCCTGACAGACCAGGAACACATAGAACAAGATCATGAATACCATAAAACACCGACAGGTTTTATACAATTGCCCAGGAAATAGTTTCTTTTTCATTTTTTCCAGAACATTGTCTCAGTGTGTAATTAATAACTGACCTTGAGCGATTCTCTCTTTGACATCTTGGTGGCAGTAGACGAAGGTGTAGACGTCGTTGGTGCTGTCTTATCCGTGATGGGGGTGAACAGCCGACTCTCAGACTGCAAACATAAGATGTTTCATAGAAAATCTCACTCAAAAGTCTTCTGACACCTAATATATGAACATGAATTGATAAAAGTCAAAAAGAGGCTTGTAATGCCAGATTTGCTATGATCAGCAAATCCTGGCAGAGCAAAGGGAAGCAACTTGCGACAGTGAACAATAATCTGGTTTCTTTCAATGAAAAGCTGACTGGGTAGTGTTTGCTCCTATATAGGAACATGGCACAAGAGCAGGTTATAAGGGAAGTGCTGTTAATAGGTGAACTATGGTATTACCACCGTGAGTGAGTGAGGGAGTTGGGTATTACATCTCTTTGATCAGTATTCCAGTAACACTATGGAGTGTCAGTTTAATGTAGCAGGAAAGCCCAAAGAGTCAGTGAGGCGTTTATAAGTTTGTGAAACCCAGAATCTTGGGTATAAAGTCAATTAAGTGCTACATGTTTGAAACCCAGTTAGTGTTAAACATCAGAAACATCCTTCACTTTGGATTTTCCTACCACACTGAGTTGCCTCGCCATGATGTAACTTGAAATACTGTTCAAAATGGTGTTAAACTGGCACAAGGACAGGTATGGAGGTGATAAACCATGACACATAAACAGGGAAAATCATGGGACTTGAACCCTCAGTCATTGAGGTGAGGTTCTTGCACATCTAAGGGAGACAACTCCAGACTAAAATTGGGACCTGTCCATCAATGCAACCTATCAGAAACACGTCCCAACGAGTGCCCTGACCACAAAGCTAATAGTTTCATAGAAAATGCTCATATATTTCTGGGACTATGAAGTGGATCTGGATGTAACTTTTCAGTACATCAAAAAGATATGAAATTCTGTTTAAGGGCCACCAAGTTTCCAACATTTCAATAATGAAGCTTGAAAAAGAGCCCACAAGGAGTCCTGGCATTGTACTTCATTGTACTAAAGCACATACTTTAACCTTACAGTTATAGAAGCAGTGTATGAAATAAGGCCCGTCTGCCTGAGACGGTCTAGATTTCTGACGGATGGTCTAAATTTACAGCTAGCCAGCCCAATGGTCTGGTAAATTTTTTAGATGTTCCATACATCTGAGTAAATTCACCATATTTGGTTTGGTTAAATCCATTTTGGGCTGGTAACATTTTGAAGTTACCAGCCCTGATGTCTGACTAGATTTTGGGCTTATTTCATACACTGATAGAAGACCTTCTATGAAGAACAATTATTGACAAAATGCTATTCACATAATTGATTGATTGATTGAGTTTAGTTTTACGCCGCTTTTAGCAATATTCCAGCAATATCACGACAGGTGACACCAGAAATGGGCTTTACATATTGTACCCATGTGGGGAATCGAACCCGGGTCTTGGGAGTGACGAGCAAACGCTTTAACCACTGGGCTACCCCACTGCCCCTGCTATTCACACTAAAGTTGGCTTATCAATTAGATAATATTTACAAAGATTACAAATCAAATTTGAGATAGATTCATGTTGGTTATTGATACTATATCAGTAGCGACATTGTGTAACATAATGGATTCTGTTATTTACAAAGAATACAAATCACATTTGTTGAAGTAGTTTCTCTTTGGTTATTGATACCGTATCAAAAGAGACACTGTATCTGATAATGGATTCTGTTATCAAAGCAATAACCATCAGTCTGATAACCTGATATTACGACTCAATAAATATGCAAATGTGGTCACTTTCCTGGAACTATTTTCATGAGATTTGTACAATCTGTGCAATGTCTCCTTACACAGTTAACTCATAATACTTGCATTAAGATACTCATCCCTTGTTGTTTCTGAAATAATATTTACACCACTGAGTGAGTGAGTGAGTGAGAGAGTGAGTGAGTGAGTGAGTGAGAGAGTGAGAGTTTAGTTTTACGCGCTTTAGCAACTTTCCAGCTATATCACGGCGGGGACACCAGAAATGCGCGTCACATATTGTACCCATGTGGGGAATCGAACACGGGTCTTCGGTGTGACGAAAAAACGCTTTAACCACTACGCTACCCCACCGCCCCATTTACACCACTGAAAAATAGGTGCTAACTTGATACGCCCAGATGGAAATTGCTGGACAAAATACCATTGCAAATATACTGGTATGGTGAGTGAGCGAGTGAGAGAGAGAGAGAGAGACTAAGTTTAGTTTAACGCCGCTTTTAGCAATGTTCTAGCAATATCAAAACTGGGGATACCAGAAATGGGCTTCACACATTGTACCCATGTGGGGAATCAAACCCGGGTCTTTGGCGTGACGAGTAAATGCTTTAACCACTGGGCTACCCCACTGCCCCGAGTAAGTGATTGAGTTTAGTTTTATGCCACTTTAAGCAATATTCCAGCAATATCACAGTGGGTAACACCCACATGGGAATTGAACCTGGGCTTCAGTGTGACAAGTGAATGCTTTAACCACTAGGTCGCCCCACTGCCCTTCTGTAAGCTGTGAGTCAGTGTCGGACAGCTTGGTGGTAAAAGCATTCACTCGTGACGTGTCTGGTGTTCATCACTTCAATCAGTGGAATATTGCTAAAAGCAGCGTAAAAAACTGACTTATCATATACAACTTGTTTTTAATAATTGTAACAACAACAACAACAACAACAACTGCGCTGTTTCCTGCTCAAAGTGAATCATTTATACATCAATTACCCGGTGAACAGCATTGTACAAACTGGACATTAAACTGCTGTGACTGGCTTTACAGAGGTCAATCTAAATGATAGCTGTTTAGATTGTTGTTTAACACCGCGCTCAGCAATATTCCAGCTATATGGCGGTGCAGGGGTGTAAATAATCGAGTCTGGACCCGACAATCCAGGGATCAATATTATGAGCATCGATCTACGCAATTGGGATAGGATGTGTCAACCAGGTCAGCGAGCCTGACTACCCGATCCTGTAAGTCACCCCTTACGACAAGCATGGGTTACTGAAGACAAATTCTAACCAAGATCTTTATGGGTCGGTAGTGGTTTAGAACCCATTCAGCTCTTACAATCCCACACACCTTGCTAATATGATGAACATATGTACATTAAAAATTTCAGATATTCAGTGATAGAGCTGATTTCATTATAACACAGGTACATAAATTTCAGATATTCAGTGATACAGCTGATTTCATTATAACACAAGTACATAAATTTCAGATATTCAGCGATACAGCTGATTTCATTATAACACAGGTACATAAATTTCGGAAATTCAGTGATAGAGCTGATTTCATTATAACTCAGGTACATAAATTTCGGAAATTCAGTGATACAGCTGATTTCATTATAACACAGGTACATAAATTTTACATAAATTTCAGTGATACAGCTTCATTATAACACAGGATAAATTTCAGCTGATTCATTATAACACAGGTACATAAATTTCAGATATTCAGTGATAGAGCTGATTTCATTATAACACAGGTACATAAATTTCAGATATTCAGTGATAGAGCTGATTTCATTATAACACAGGTACATATCTTTTTGACAATGAAAGAATATGAAACAGCAGAGCCAAGAGGATACAGTACCATAATTTTGCGAAAAACAAAACCTAGATGGTCTTCCCAGCTACAACAGGAATACAACACCCAAAGATACAACATATGTGAGGGCTGATTTCATAACTATATTTGTGTATAGTGACATCCTCTATTACGTATAAGGAAATCAGTATCTGGGAAATACATGCTTCCCATTGATTCGTACGAAACAAGCTGAAGAATGTTATTCTGTTTCAGGGGTGGTTGGGTGGCCTAGCAGTTAAAGCATTCGCTTGTCACTTCAAGATCCATGTTTGATTCCCCTCATGGGTACAATGTGTGAAGCTCATCTCTGGTGTTCCCTACTGAGATTTTGCTGTGATATTGTTAAAAGTCCAACTTACTCACTCACTATTGTGTTACATATAATACTGCACTTTGAAATGTCAAATGATATAGCATCATGATTCAAGTCAAAATTCTCCTCAGATGATGTCATATTTATTGTCCGAGGCTGCCCAGAATAATAGGCATTTACTGCTGAGTGTTGAGTCTGATGTATGGCCGACCCTGAGTGTCTGGAGGTTGTGCACATGGATAGCAGATACTGAGTGACTCAGTGCAGGTTATGTAGCATGGCCAGTTTGCAGTGACTCTGTATTGTTGGCCATATAGTATATCCTGCTGTATCTTGTAGCCTAGCAGTTAAAGCATTCGCTCGTCACATCGAAGACCAGGGTTTGATTCCCCACATGGATTCAATGTGTGAAGCCCATTTCTGGTGTCCCCCGCCGTGATCTTGCTGGAATATTGCTAAAAGTGGCATAAAACCATACTCACTCACTCTTGTTTGTGTGTTGTTTAACACCTTACTCAGCAATAATCCAGCTATATGGCAGCGGTCAAGAAACAATTGAGTTTAGACCAGAAAATTGAGCAATCAACATCGTGAGCATTGATCTACCAGTACGCAGTAGGGATACGATGAGTCAGTTTATCAGCCTGCCCACCCGATCCTGTTCACCGCCTCATACTACAAACGCTGCGTGCTGGAGACCACCTCTAACCCGGATCTTCACGGGTGTGCTGTGAGTGTAGGTTGAGTAGTATGGACAGTTTGCTGCTATAATGGAGTGTAGGCTTTGGAGTTCAGTTTGGAATGAGTGAGTAAAGTGTCGGCCAGCATTTCCTAGAGTGAGTGAGTGGGAGTCAGTGAGTGAACGAGTGTATTATTTCCAGCTGTATGTGAGTGTAGTATGGACAGTTTGAGTGACTGAAAGAGACTGTAGGCTGGCTGTAATTCCTGAAAAAAATGTTGACTATGTAATATGGCAAGTTTGGTCTGAGTGAGTGAGTGAGTGAGTGAGTGGAGTGAGTGAGTGAGTGAGTGAGTGAGGAGTGTGTGAGTGAGTGAGTGTGGAGGAGTGAGTGAGGAGGAGAGTGAGTGTGAGTGAGTGAGTGGAGGAGTGAGTGAGTGAGTGAGGTGAGTGAGGAGTGAGGAGGAGGGAGGGAGGAGGGAGGAGGAGAGGTGAGAGGAGAGGAGTGAGGAAGGAGGAAGGAGGAGGAACATATCAACATACATTTAAGGAACAGGTTCCACTTCAGATTCTACATTTAGCAAACCACTTCCCATATTAAGCAAATTAAGTACTCTTTAGTGAGTGAGTGAGTGAGTTTGGTTTTACGCCACTTTTAGCAATATTCCAGCAATATCACGGCGGGGGACACCAGAAATGGGCTTAACACATTGTACCCATGTGGGGAATCGAACCCGGGTCTTCGGCGTGACGAGCGAACGCCTTAACCACTAGACTACCCCACAGCCCCTAAGTACTCTTTAGACTTACTGAAGAACCTTTAACTCTTAGTGATGCACTTTTACATTAAGTGAAACATTTTTCCAGTTAAGTAAGCAGTATTTATTTGGTTGCATCTAAGCTTTAAGCGGTATCTGAGAAGTAAGTCACATTGTTAACCTGTTCTTCATATTCTCATTCCAGAACAAACCTCATACGAACTCATAATTAATTGATAATGACCACATTACAGGACCGCATGACTGCACAGCAAGTAGGTCAATAACATAAAACATACTGACAAATCGGACAGAAGGGTCCACATTCTCAAGACAACCTCGGGTAAAGGTCAGCCAGGGGCAGAGTGTTCATCAAAGACACATTCATTACCTCCCATAATTGGTTTTCTATTGTGAAGTGATTGTACAATGCATTAACCCTGCCCCATAACATCAAATGAGCGAGGGCAGCTTAAGATGGAGATAATGGCATTATGAAGTATGTCTCACTGAACGTTGCAGCATTGCAAGCCTTTTATGACAGGCAGCTGTACAAGAATAATGAGCTTATGAGCCGAATGGAAACCTAGTCGCGTCCTGTAAAACACACGAAACTTGCCTTGGATCTTTGTGTTTCTGTGTGATTTGTATTTTGTTGATAGAATTAAAAATTACATTAATTATTTTTTAAAGTATTTGAAAATTATGTGAATATTTTTCCATTTGGTTATACAGACATATTTTAGCTGAAATGAATCCACTTAAAAGATTGTCTGTTGGAAGTCATAGGTATTTCAATAGACTGTCTAATTTGTGACAGTCTTCAAACAGAATGACAGATCTCCCCTTTCACACATGCCTAATTTATTCCTTGGAGTTCCAACTGACATAATGTCATAATTCACTCATAATTCCTCTGGTGATGTGTTATATATAGACCATTAAACAAAGTAGGGGATATTGGATTTACAAGATTGATAAAATGCAAATGATGAAGCCCAGGAGGAAACAGATGATGAAGAGAAATTAAGGGGAAATGTGACAATTTATTCCATTCCTTTGGAAATGTTTCACCTGTATGGATATATATTACTTTTTCTTATATGCACTGGCATTGGCTAGTGGTATGCTTGCAAAATGGAATATCCCTACTTTTATTGAATGGCTTATGTCCCAGACAGTACTTCATAATATACACCTAATGTTGTCTAACACCAAACTCAGCTACTTATAAGTTACGACGGCCATCTGTTAATAAGCGAGTGTGGACCAGAAAATCCAGTGATTGATATTATGAGCTGCAATCCACTCTCTCTGGGTAAGATGACAAGTCATCACTCCAAGCCTGACCACCAAGCTCTTTAATCACCCATGAGTGAGTGAGTGAGTGAGAGTGATTATACTGCTTTCAGGAATATTCCAGCAATATCACAGTGGGGGACACCAGAAATGGGCTTCACACATTGTACCCATGTGGGAATCGAACCTGGGTCTTCAGCATGATAAGCCGATGTTTTAACCATTAGCCTACCCCAACGACCGGGTAAACATTAAACAACACGGTGAAAAATTCGAAATTGTTTAGCAGTTGACTCCAGCTCACACAGAAAGTGAGATTTACGCCCATGCAAAGAAGCATAAAGCAGCAGAATACTATTGTCTGCACACCTTATCATACATGCTTTATACTTAAAAGGACTTTTGTTTGAAATATTAAGATTTTTACAGTATAATGGAAGTCAAAATATAGGATTTATGGCAATGAATGACAGAGGTAGGATATTTGCAGGAATCATTAGGTGCACTAGTCCTATAAAAGAGAGGAACTTTCAGGCTGTGTGGGTGAGATAATGAATGAATGGTCTACTCACACTGGCCCGCACCCTTGGCGACGGGTGTGATGGTGTGGAGGTGGCGGATGACGGTGCTGGTAGTTCGGCACCATCAGGCACCTCGGGATGTCCTGTAACAGAGAACAAGAACATAAGCTACATCATCCACACTTCTAATGAAACCTAACTGTTTTAATGGCCAGCTACTTATAATCAAGATTCATGTCATATAATAAGCTAGGCTATATGAAACAAATAACATAAACTAAATCCTGATTTTGGAAACTAATAGATACGGTATGGTTGACAAGAAGTTCCAAATCACGATAATCTCTGATTAACGGAAACAGCTGATTTGACCACAGCATCACCACAAAAGGAGTACTTCTATCTCAATCACGTCGATCATTACTTTTATAATAATAAATAGAGGATATTATATGAGTGCCCATATCATATTTTGTTTACAACACTCGTGCCTAAATGTCTGTATTTCCCAAGCGAGAGCGAAGGATATACGGACATTTACGCACGAGTGTCGTAAACATAGTATGACATGGACACGAATATAATATTCTGTTTATTACAGAAGTCGTCAAATTGAGGAAAATAAACTCAAATCTACTTTCAAACATAGGCTGGCTACCCGCCAACGTCACAGAGGAAACATGACGTCATCGCATTGTTCATGACGTCACGTCACCATGAGAAAGTGATATTTTGCCCTAGGGCATCGTATGAACAATATAAACCCCGTAGGTAATAAAGACTCACAAGAAAAAAATGTCAGTCACAGAAGAGCAACTTCTTGAGAAGAGTATGTGACGTTTGAAAACAATACAAATCAAATAAAGTCAACTTCAAATACCAATGATAGACCATGTTTTTGATGACCAACCTCAATCTACAACTGTACAGTGTCAGGGCTATCAGACAGACATAGACTAGTTGTATTACAACTAGCTTCAGATTATACATCCCATCATGCTGACAAAGGTAACAAATCTGACGTTCAACTCCTGTGAGTGAGTGAGTGAATGACTTAAGTTTTAAGTTGTTTTTAGGAATATTATTATAATAAAAATACCTTACAATGACAGTGAGTGTTAATTAATCTCCTTTGCGAAGCAAAACTTTCCCATTGCAGAATCGTACATTTAGTGCCATTTTAGGGTAAAATGTCCAAATTTCAGGCTTTTTCATGCCTGTGCGAACCGTGTACTCTGAAGTTAAAGGTCAACAATTTGGGGATTCAAATCTACCGGAGCAAACTTCAAGGAGTGTTTATATCATCCTCTTCAACAAAGAATGAGACTCCCGAAGATTGTTCATCTGTTTGTGTGTCATGCTATTGAACAAGTCATTAAGCATAAGACCATCTGATTCATAAGTCACCTTCTACGACATGCAAGAGTCAAGCTCTTTTGGTTGCTTGGGACTAGCTTTCAACAAACCAGGACTGTCTCCAGCAACCACTCAGTTGCGACATTACATTACCAAGACAACACATAGTTAAAAGAACTTCTTTAGCCCACTTTCAAACTTTACTCCTACAGCCAAGAATACCACAATACCACCCAGAGCTGCAGTGTATGTAAAATCGGTATATCAGCCTCTATACACTCCAACCAAATCGAAGTTACTCCCCTTCAAAGCTTTGGCCGATTGTTACCTTCAACAGTGACACATAGAATAGACATTGAAGCATTCCCTTGGTTCCGGTTCAGACCCTCCACTGGTTCTCGTCAATATCACAAATGACACGTTACTTTTGCACGGATGTCCATAACACGTTCACATAATCAGCTGATCAATAGCAGCCTGTCAACGGATAACAACTCCGCTCACGTAGTCAAAATTACTGTAGATAAACCCTACCATTTCCTTACAAAGCACATACCCCCCGCTACTGAAACTGAGCCAATGCCTTTCTTCATGCTGAATCAATACGACTTGGTCTACGGCTGTCAGCAGTAGTGGGTGATACTGTCATCGAACGACACAACTGACATGCAATAAGCATTCTTAACTATGTTAATCACAATCTTGACGATTTACTTCCACAGAAAGAACTCCTACTTCCTTAAGTTTGTCTCACTGTTTTTATCCTTCAAATTCTCTTAATCCACTAAGTTGATCAAATTCAATTTTCCTTCAAAAGTTGCATTTATACAAAACTCAGTTACTGACACAAGAGTCAATGGTATTACTCTACAACTTGTGTCAATGGTATTACTCTACAACTTGTGTCAATGGTATTACTACAACTTGTGTCAATGGTAGTACTCTACAACTTGTGTCAATAGTATTACTCTACAACTTGTGTCAATGGTATTACTCTACAACTTGTGTCAATGGTATTACTCTACAACTTGTGTCAATGGTATTACTCTAAACTTGTGTCAATGGTATTACTCTACTTGTGTCAATGGTATTACTCTAAACTTGTGTCAATGGTATTACTCTAAAACTTGTGTCAATGGTATTACTCTACAACTTGTGTCAATGGTATTACTCTACAACTTGTGTCAATGGTATTACTCTACAACTTGTGTCAATGGTATTACTCTTGTAACTTGGTATTAATGGTATTACTCTACAACTTGTGTCTGGTATTACTCTACAACTTGTGTCAATGGGTATTACTCTACAACTTGTGTCAATGGTATTACTTACTACAACTTGTCAATGGTATTACTCTACAACTTGTGTCAATGGTAATTACTCTACAACTTGTGTCAATGGTATTACTCTACAACTTGTGTCAATGGTATTACTCTCAATGGGTGTGTCAATGGTATTACTCTACAACTTGTGTCAATGGTATTACTCTACAACTTGTGTCAATGGTATTACTCTACAACTTGTGTCAATGGTATTACTCTACAACTTGTGTCAATGGTATTACTCTACAACTTGTGTCAATGGTATTACTCTACAACTTGTGTCAATGGTATTACTCTACAACTTGTGTCAATGGTATTACTCTACAACTTGTGTCAATGGTATTACTCTACAACTTGTGTCAATGATATTACTCTGCAACTTGTCAATCACAACCGGTATTACTACTACAACTTGTGTCAATGGTATTACTCTACAACTTGTGTCAATGGTATTACTCTACAACTTGTGTCAATGGTATTACTCTACAACTTGTGTCAATGGTAATTTACTCTACAACTTGTGTCAATGGTATTACTCTACAACTTGTGTCAATGGTATTACTCTACAACTTGTGTCAATGGTATTACTCTACAACTTGTGTCAATGGTATTACTCTACAACTTGTGTCAATGGTATTACTCTACAACTTGTGTCAATGGTATTACTCTACAACTTGTGTCAATGGTATTACTCTACAACTTGTGTCAATGGTATTACTCTACAACTTGTGTCAATGGTATTACTCTACAACTTGTGTCAATGGTATTACTCTACAACTTGTGTCAATGATTACACTACAAGTATCTAGGTTATTTTCTAAGATTTCTCCTCTCCAGGCAAACTGCTCAAGTGAGAGTCTGTAAACAAGTTAGTACCTCACATAGCAGTCACTTTTTCTTGTCTCCAGTTGACATTAATAGCACTGGATTTCCTCCAGCTATGCTGCATGCGTCACAAGAACATAATCATCAAAACTCAGTTTTGAAGTCACAGAGAAGGGATTAATTTCAAAATCAGCACATTATTTCCATTATGCTAGTGACAGTGCCAAACATCAAAACCAACTTTGGCAAAAGGTCGTTCGCTTTCAATGCAGCAATGAAGTGAAATGCGCTACCGCTTGAAGTTAAAACCAGCGAGTCACTAACATCTTTTGAGACTGGCCTCAAAACATTTCTTTTCAAGTGTCAATTTTCATCTTAAGCTCACAGAGCATTTATTAGTGAATGATGCGCTATATAAATGCAATCATTATTATTATTATGATCACCATTATTGGGAGTATATTCATCATCACCAACACTGCCTCTATTGTAACTCCTCACATCAGCAGCATTATAATGTTCGACCTCATCATCATCATCATCATTTTCATCATCACCATCCTCATTGACATTGTCATCCTGGTCATCATCATCATCCTCCTCATTCTTTATCACAGAATTATCATCACCATCACATTTACCACCACCATCATCATCGTCATCCTGATCTTGATCATCATAATGACATCACCATTATTTTCACCTCATTATCATCATGGATATTATCATCATCATTATCATCATCAATATTATTATCATCATCATCATTGACATTATCAACATTATCATCATCATCATCATCATCGATACTATCCCCCGCAGTGATATTGCTGGAACATTGCTAAAAGCAGCTTAAAATTAAACTCACTCACTCAAAATGATAAACTACATTTGTCATGTTGGCCATGAACTACATTAGGTGCCACTGAAGTAGAGTAGGTCACGCAAGTTAGTCTGGATGACTAGGTTCATTGCATGCATTGTATCCTGAATGTGTTGATCATTGTTCACAAGCTCCATCACTGGATTGTCTGGTCCAGATTCAGTTATATTGACCCTACTGTCTTAGGTGGAACATTGCTGAGTCATCAAGTGGTGATGGTAATGTTGTTCAGGATAATATAGAGTGAGTGAGTGAGTTCAGTTTTACACAGCTTTAAGCAATATTCCAGCAATATCATAGCGGGGACACCAGAAATAGGCTTCAGACATTTTACCCTGCAGGGAATCAAACCTGTGACTTCAGTGTGACAAGCGAACGCTTTAACCACTGGGCTACCCCACCGCCCCTTATTATTTTGAACAGCGATTCACAAACTGTACTGACTCATCACATCAAAGGGAAGGCCAGACTGACAATCATTAAAAGGTTTTAGAGCCTTTTTAAAATTCAGTCCAAAGCCAAAATCAATATACAAGCTTTATAGCTATGAGCTAATTCTCTACCATTAGCTTATCAGATTGTTTCTTGAGTCCATTTTTAAAAATTGTAATGGCGGTAAACATGTGCAAAGACTAATGGACCTAAAACACAGAAATCAAATTGTTTTCATACACTTTGACGGTTCTTGTTGCTATTTTCCCTGCATTATGTCGAGCTACTTTAGTATAGTCATTGTGAAAGGTCAAGGTTGTCAAGG